TAATTATAACTAATGATTTGAGATAGATAATTGTTCAAATAATCATAACTATTAGAACTGATTTGATAAACAGATTTTGTTTTTAAATCTCTTATTAATTTGTTGAAATATTAATAAATTGGAATTATTTTATTTTGAATTATTTTGTATGAATAGAAACAATTGTTTTACAATAAAATATAATGTTATAATGATTTGAAATAGATAATAGCTCAAATGGATATGACTATTTGAACTTGTTTAGTGAACAAATTTATTTTTCAAATCCCAATTTATAAATTTTTAGAATATTAATAAATTAGTATTATTTTATTTTGAATAAACTTATATGAATAGAAATAATTGTTTTATGATAAAACAAAATATCATAGCGATTTGGAATAAATAATTATTCAAATAGTCATAACTATTTGAACTCGCTTAGTAAACATATTTATTTTTTAAATTTTTACTTATTAACTTTGGAATTTTAATAAATTAGTACTATTTTATTCCCAATAAGCTTTTATGAACAGAAACAATTGGTTTATGACAAAACAAAATATCATAACGATTTAAAATAGATAATTATTCAAATAATCATAATTATTTAAACATGTACAGAAAACATATTTATTTTTAAAATTTTTACTAATTAATTTTTCAAATATAAATAAATTTATATTATTTTATTCAAAATAAGCTTGCATGAACAGAACTAATTATTTTATGACAAAACAAAATGTCATAATGTTTTGAAATAGATAATTGTTCATATAGTCATAACTATTTGAACATGTTCAGTAAACAGATTCATTTTTTAATTCTTTTACTCATTAATTTTAAAATATTAATAAATTAGTATTATTTTATTTCAAATAAGTTTATATAAACTGAAACAATTTTTTTTATTATAAAACAAAAGGTCACAATGATTTAAAATAGATAATTATTCAAATAGTTAGGACTATTTGAACTTGTTCAAAAACATATTTATTTCTTAAATCTTTTACTTATTAATTGTCAAAATATTAATAAATTAATATTATTGTAATTTGAATAAACTTGTGTGAACAAAAATAATTGTTTTATGATAAACAAAAAGTCATAAGAATTTGAAATAAATAATTGTTCAAATAGTCATAAGATTTGAGCTTGTTTTGTAAAAAGATTTATTTTTTAAATATTTTACTTATCAATTGTCTTTATATTAATAAATTTGTATTATTTTATTCAAAATAAGCTTGTATGAACAGAAAAAATCATTTTACGACAAAACAAAAGGTTATAGCAATTTCAAAAAGATAATTGTTGAAATAGTATAATTATTTAAACTTGTTCGACAAACAGATTTATTTTTTAAATCTCTTAATTATTAATTTTCATAATATTAATAACTTAGTATTATTTTATTTCAAATAAGCTTATATGAATTGAAATAATTTTTTTTATGACAACACAAAAGGTCATAACGATTTGAAATAGATAATAATTTAAATAGTCTGACTATTTGACCTAGTTCAATAAACATATTTATTTTTTAAATTTTTTACTCATTAATTGTTGAAATGTTAATTAATTAGTATTATTTTAATCCAAATATTATTATTTAAAATAGGATAGATTCAATTAGGTGACCAATTACACCTAAACAAAAAAAGATTGGTGGCAACTCCTAAGGTCTATATTTAATGGTAGGTCCACGGGTTTATACATTATGACAATGGTAGTTCACATAGTGTATAGCCACATTCTCATGTGATGGTTATATAAGTGATCATTTGACTTAAGATTAGTTATGATATTATATGATGAATGTTATACTTTTAACTTTACTTATTGTTCTAACCAAGAATGCTTCAGTCAAGTATTTTTGGGTATAACATAAGGCATATGAAGATGCATGAAGTAATCAAGATGGGATTCATCACCTTGTATGTTCAAGAGAGTATCTCAACTAGTCTTGATTGAATTAACTTAAGAAATCTTTGTCCAAAGTGAAATAAAAATTTAGAATTGCTCTAAAACTTGTTTGTGAGTTAATGTCAAAGACAAGACCTAACATGATTGAACAAGATTAAGCAGACACTAAGCCATACTCAATATTCAAACCGAGATATTATATGATGAAAAGGTATTAATCATAAACTAAGACTATTCATGGATAGGTTGTCAAGCCATATTGACTTTTCTTTAGCAATTGGGGGTCATGGCAATGAAGCTAACATTGATCATGATCCATAAACACAAGATTGGCCAATTGGAAAATTGGTGATGAAGATAAAAAGTTTGTTTCATCCGTAGTTGAATACTAAGGCTTACAATGCTTGTGTTTATTGGTAACATGCTAAAGAACCTAATAAGTCACACACAATAGAACAATTGTGAAATATTAAAATTGGGACAAATTAAGTTGGATTTAATTTGATTTTGGTTTGACCAAAAATAGAGAAAATAAAAACTAGAGAAAGAGTTTTACTTGTTTGGTCAACTAGCATGTGGAAATTTGTATTCCAAGCATTAAACCTAATGTGGTTGAATACTTCCCCTATAAAATGAACATCAAGCTGCCCCCTTTTGAAAGAAAAGAAATAGAAAAAGAGTAACAAACCAAGCATCTAGACAGAAACTCAAGAAAATATAAGAAGTCTTGCACACACTTACTAGTTATAGTGTGGTTTTAAGTTCTACAAAACCTTAGAAAATGTTTTTTCACAAGAGTTTGTGTGAATCACCATTAGATGCTAAACACTTGGGTAGCTTCTTTGCTTGCAATCAATTTGGAAGATCACCAAATTGAACCAAGGGATTTTTGGCATTCAAGGTAATAGCTTTAGCCAAAACTATGCATGCTTCTATATGTATGATGTTTGTATAATCTTACTGATTGATTTAGGCTTTATGGAATTAAAATTTTTTAAAAACTCTGCTGCTTTAACTCTGATAATGATACATAATTCCATTCATGCTTCTCTACTCATCGTATGATTCTTTTGAATTCAAAAGAGTCCTTTTGCATTCCAATTTTAGCTTTGGTTGAATATGACTTTGGATTCTATATGCTTCTTGGTTTGGCTTCATGTTAAGTTGGATATGGCTACCACATTTTGCATGGATCACTCATCTTTGCATGCATGGCTGAATGGGTTGTTGATGGACTATTCTAAGCCTTGGTCGAATGTATCTCACCAACTTTGCTTGGAGTGCATGATTCATGCATGGCCTCCTCTAGTCACCTTTGCATGGTTTGCATGGATTTTAGCTTTTACATCCAAAGTGATTTGTTTCTTCATACAAGCTTGAAATTCACAAATTTACATCATTTTAGAGCAAAATTTATGACAGTTTTCAAAATTTTGACTCTCAAATGACATGTAAATAGTTATAAATTGTATAGTCATCACAATAGATCCATTGGCCCCAGCAGCACTACTTTCTTCCCCTTCCCTTTGTTAATATCATATCCACCCCCACTGGACCCAGCTCCACCCCCTTCCTAAATAACGATCCTGGACCCCTGACGCCTACCTCTGACCCTTTGAGCTCCATTACCCTTTTCCCTGAGCTGTAGCAGCTGGCATTACAATGTTTTCCTCATCACTCGATTCCTCAATAATATTTTTTTCTCTTTAGTGTCATCTTAGTCACTCTTAGAAAAGCAAAAGAACTTGAGAAATTTTCGAACTTACCCAAAATCTCTAAAATTCATAGAATCAAAAGCCATAAAAGTTAAAAAGAAAACAACTTTCTTATTGGAAAATAGTAAAGTGAGTCCCAATCGCTTTCTTTCGTCTATTTATACCTAACCAAACATTTCAATTGAAACAGTTCATGTACAATCCCCAAACAAACCAGTTGTTTTCAAACAATTCACATAAATTCCCTAACTGGGCCTATCGATGTAATTACACAAATTTTGAAAAAACATATTTATTCGACCCAAATCCATTAAATCGACATCAAATTAATTTTTGATTAAATTCGCACGTAAAATGGTGCATTCGAAATTCACACAATAAATTCTGAAGGCACTCTTTCAAAACACATGGCCTAAACAACTACATAAATAAAAAACATGAGTGTGTGCTTCGCAACATGGCCAATGACGCGCTCAACTCACCCACACCACGTCTGCACCATAACAAACATGATAGGAAAATTTTCTCAAGTCCTTAGCTACTACTCTTTATTACTCACCATGGCACGTCATCAACTAAGCATGACAAAACAAGGCTTGCCATCAGAAAGGTTCACTAGACTAGCTCAGCCACACTTCTCTCAATGGCTTACCTCGCCAAAACTTATTTGATGCTTTCACACCTACTTGCCCACCTAGGTAAAGGTATAAGGGTGGTCACTTTATAACTGCCCCTGAACATATGGGGTAATTATTATGCCTAATCTCTTGGTCAACAAAGTCAACCTCTTTGCTCGCCAAGTCAGCACACGTCCAGCCTCCTCGCCACAATCCAATTTCGCCCTTGAGTTGCTCATTAACTAGAACTTCCTAGCCCATGGAGACAGCTCACCTAACTACCCCACTAATTTCCCATAACATGTCACCTTGCAACATACCAACTCCCATCCAACTTGCCAATAACCATTAAATGTAACCCACGTTTACTCGTGTGGGTCCTCCTCATGCTCCAGATAGACTTTTCATCAACTTTCACTGACTCCAGTCAAGTCACTAGCTATTGTCTCGTATGTAAAATAAATAAGAGGTCCAAGTAAGCATTCTGAACCATTCACCCTTAAGCTTCCTTTATACTTTTTGTAACTTATCTTCCTCCTTCAAAAACTCTAGTATACTTGATTAACTTGAGCATCAAAATGCGTCTTGGAGAACAAACTCTGGCACCTCTTGACCGTACTTTCTTGTTGCAAGCCCAAATCAATTCTAACTTATCCTCTAAATCACCATCCAACTCACCTTCACCCAAAACACCATCAACAAAACTATTTTTTAAAGTTAATTGCTAAATGGGGCATTTAGCCAAACATAATTATCCCACAAAAATTAGTCATTTGAATGGTATATACCGTAAGTTGCTTGTTCTTGAGCTCTTGTTTGTGCTTAATTTATTGGCTTGTTAGCATGCAAGAGACAAGGACTCAGCTGGCATGTAAAGGGAAATTTGAGTTTCTGATGGCAAAATGAAAATACAATCCGTCTTTATTTGACAATTTAGGAGACACTATATATCAAGCCTGGGAAAGGGTTTCTGGCTATATGGATAGCTCTAAAAGGACAGAGACAGACTCCGCTAATGATATAAATGAGTACGTGAATTTAGGACATCCTATATATATATATATATTGTACATCATGAATGCACGCCATCAATCATGCTGCAGTTTGTTGTCAATTAGGTTGAAATATATTCATTTGATGGGGTTCCAAGCGTGAGCATGCTGAAAATAATGGAGCTCATTCTCCGAGATGCAACTCCAACATTTGGTATTAACAGTGCGCAAGCTGGGCTCTCTCGGGATTGTTAAAGGCCGGTTGGATCTGCAGTTCAAATTTATACACATTGAAACCAGTTTAGAATTTAGATAATTAAGATCATATATAATAATATATAATAATAATAATAATAATTACTATTATTATTACATATACCTTTGCGGGAAAAATGGTCTATCGAAGAAAGGCATGAGTTGGGCTTTTGGAACCATCTCCCTTCTTAGCAATCGAATCTCTTCTTCTTCTATCATCTACTCAGTCCACTCAATGTTAGTGTAATTAGTGTTACAGTTAATTATTAATTACCATAATTTTGGACAAGGAATTATGTAATTTACCTTTTGCAATTTTTCCACTTGTTTCTTCTGTATCTCCAACAGATATAGTTTGGTCGCCACCTAAGCATATAATTATAATTATATAGAGAAAAAAAAATTAGGAACATTGAAAACGAATGAAACTGATACTATTTCACCGAAGCGAGTGAATTACGCACTGAATAATTGAACATTGCGCGCTTAACCGCTCTTTGTTCAGTGTGAAGTTTGAATTCTAGTGGCTTAGTATTTTCCTTGGCCGGAGACTTCGGAGTAACCTACATATATATATATATGTGTGTGTGTGTGTGTGTGTAAAAATTGAGCTTAATTAATTATTGGAAAGTTAAATACATGCACTAGTGTAAACATGGTTAAATGAATTTACCTTGGAATATTTGTCTTTGAGTTGATCTCTTGTCTGCCAAAATGAAGCAGTTAATTCTGTTTAATTCTAGTGAGACAAGCCTTAATTTCTTTTATATCTATATCTATATATATATATATATATATATATATATATATATTCATCATGCTTTCTCATTTTGCTTTTGGCTCTTATATTATTATTATTATTATTATTATTATCTAGCATTGGGAGTTTCTTTGTGTTCATTTCAGTATTTCTTTTCCCTCCAATTGCTTCGCTTAATTGTTTAAAACAATTAAAAAGCTAACAAAAAATTAATCTAAATGAAATATAACTATGTATTTGAGCATGTTACATGCAGCAGCCTTCAAAGATGAAAAAAAAAAAAAAAAAAGGAAAAACAATGGATAAAAATAGAGTGGCAGAAATTTGGAGCAAAAAAATTTTAAAAAATTTAAAATTTTTTTATGAATTTAGATGTATAACAAAAAAATAACTTTTAATACAACTAATAAATGAACAAAATTCACGTTTGGTAATTGAATCAATCTAAAAGTTTTAAGATCTTTTCCTTGTAATTGAGGAAAGGCTTTATTGGCAAAATTTGAAGAAAATTAAAAAAAAAAAAAAAAGCAACTATTATGTTTAAATTTTAACATGTCCCTCACGTGCAAGCGGAATAAATGATTAGTAGGGTTGCATGCTAATCCAAGCGTAAAAGAAAGTACTAGCTTGAGGAAAGATTAAAAAAACATTGAACAAGTCAATGAACAATGAGTGAAAAAAATATAAATATTAGAACTCGAGAGTTCTAAAATCATGTTAAATTAAATGACCGATTACCCTAAAATGTTAAAGCAGATAAAAAAACCAATTATGATACTTAAGTTCTAATATTACGTGTTAGTGAATAATGCAACTAGTTGAAACTCAAACGATATAACGGAAACGACTGCAGTCTGGTTTAGAGTTTAGCATTAAAAATAAACGAAAATGAGCAAGTAAGAAGAGAAAACAAAGGGCTGGTCTTGAACAAACTTATTGGGAAACCAAAAAAAAAACAAAATGCATGGCATTTAACGTACAATTAAATTAAATAAATTAAACAACGGAAACCAATTAAGAGGATGAGCAGCATTAATAAATATAAGTAATAACCTTTAATGCAGATTTTGTGTGTGTTCTCTCCATGTTGGACTGAATCGCTGTTGATTCCTTGAACCATAACTGAGGAGTTGAACTGGATTTAAATTATGGGACAAAAATCAAAGTTTGGAGATTTGTAACTATCTTTAGTGCTTTCTGTTGCAACATCAGCAGCATGCTAAGGGATTTGCATGTTCTCTGGCACCAAACTTTCTGATTAAATCTCCCTCTCATCCACACATATTTGATTGCCATTCCTTACTAACTTTCCTCTTCCTTCTTCCTATTAACTAATAAAATTAATCTCTAATTTCACATCACTATTTGGTCTTAATTTAAGGGATTAATCCACAAATTAAGAATATTTAAATCTCTCCGTCCAAAATTCACCTTATCCCTATCACTTTGAGTTAGTTGTAGGTGTTGTTAAATTGCTTGTGATTAAATTTAATTTGAACACTTAAATTGCTTAACCGTATGTTAGCTATTATTTCAAAAACAACATACTACTCTTATTTATTTATTTTTTAATTCTTAATCTATCTTTAATCTCTTAATTCTTATCTGCTCAACTCAATTGAAGAGGACCGGATATTATGCATCTAAATTTTCCAGAATTCGCAACCTTCAAGAATTTAATCAGCATATTTTATAGAGACTCACACCAAAATGGTCCAACCTGATTCAACCCAGATGTAGACACTCCAATTAGTCTAAAATTTAATTTGCATCTTAAGATTTGATTTTTATTTTTATTTTATATCATTTATGGTTATTTTTATTATTTTTATTTATTTTGTTTATTTTGGTTAATTTAAAAAAAAAAAAAAAAGGTTTAGCTGGTTTGGGAAAGGTTTTGATTAGAAAATGGATCTTGTAATTGTGTACCTTAGGTTAGAATTAAAACGTTAATTAAAAGTAAAAATGTATTTGGATGGATTTTGGGTAAGGATGGAAAAAAATTAATTTAAAATATAAGATTTAATCTAAGTGGGATTTGGGGTTTAGAATTCTTGTCCTAATGGATTTAGGATTAAGAGTTTATTTAAAGAACTTCCAATAACCATCAACAATCAAGAATTGAAAAAACAACAAGCAAAGAAAAAGCAATCAATAAGCTGATGGTGTAATTTGGAGTTTAGTTTGATTTAGATTCATAAGTTTAATCTAAAGAAAAATAGTTTATTTAAGGATTATTGTCGTTTAGAAGAACAAGAAAATTTTTGAAAAAACATGAGTTTTTTTTCCAAAAAATCTGGGAATTTTTGGAAAAAAGTATTGAATTTTTTGGCCACGTTTGAGTTTTTCATTGAAGTTTTCGGTAGTAATTTGAACTTTTCAATGGCTTTTTGAACATTTTAGCCAGCATTCATCTAGGTTTCTAAAGAGAAGGAAGAGAGAACCAAGAAGAGAGAGAAAAAGAAAAGGAAAAAATGCAAAAAAAAACATTTTTTTGGCTTAAATAGTATAGCCTAGGTGATGTTGTTTAAGGTTTAAAATTTTTGAGGATCCATGCCTAGACCTGAAGTGACTTGCGTGCTGACTCCATAAGACCCGACCTAATTGCCAGTTTTCTTTCTTTATTTTGTTTTATTTTTCTATTTTTATTATTTAATTTATTCATATGATTTGTTTTGTTTATTTAATTTATTATTTGTCTAACCTTTCTTTCCTTTTTCCTCTTTCTTATAATTATATTAGTTTATTTATATTTATTTATATTCATTTATTGATTTACTTATGTACTTATTTGATTAGGAATAGGTTAATTAAATTAAATTTATGGGTTATATAATAAATAATTAATTGAGTTTCATTGTAACCCCCACGTATGTTCTAGGAAAATAGTTTTGTGTAAATTTTTGAGAATAAATATTACTTATCCCAATAATGAAATTCTAAAATTGCAAAATTGTTGATTTTTAGAAATTTCTAGTTGAGAAATTACATTTCTAAATTTTGTCAGAATGGTAGAAAATTTAGATTACAAATTTCAATAAATGATAATTAACTTTTTTTCGAATTAAAAGAAAAATAGCCTCAAGAAAAAGTTTGGAACTAAATATTAATTATTTTCGATTATGAAATTCTAAAAATGCATACATAGGTGATTTTTAGAGGTTTCTAGGTGAAAATTTCTTTTTTCTAAATTTTGTTAGAATGGTGAAAATTTTAGTTTAAAAATTTTGATAACAAAAATTGATATTTATTTTCAAGAGAAAAATAAAACTAGAAAATTAAAAATAATGAATTGAATTAGAAAGGTATTTTCCATAAAATTATTGGAACCTCTTTAGAGAACAAATAGATTTCTTAAATAATCTTATAGCAAAGAAAACTTTTAAAGAATTATGCTAGAATAGTAGGGAAGACTTAAAATTTTTTCCAATATTCAAAGGATAAAAATTTAAACAAAAAAAATAAAAGACAATTTAATTAAAACCAATCTTCGGATAATTTAAAATTAATTGATATCATTTTAGGATAGGTATTGTAAGGGTGTGATGACCTTCTTCACATATAACTGAACTCTAAAACTTAGTTCTAAGATGCAAATCGGAATCTATTCTTTTTAAGAACCCTTAGTCAAGTTTAGGATTTCCTTAAAAAGAGTAAATTCACTTAGGTGACCAATCACACCTTAAAAAAAAAGATTGGTGGTGACACCTAGTTAGTTTCTAATGATTGAATTCACGGACTTTAACGTTATGATAGTTTGGATACTCCACTAGGGATTTTGAGAGTTGAGCCATTAAATAATTTTAGATTATCCTAAATCTTGGTTAATTGGTCTTGATATTTTCTTGCGTGTTTCTTGTTTGATTATTTATTTATTTCTGTAAATAACTATAAGGCATTTTAAAAGTTTGTTCATTCACATACTATCACTTGCATGTGCATAATAGAAACTCTATACCTAAGCTCAATTCCTTTTAAGAGGGAGTAAAATACCTATGTTTTCATGAAATAATAATATCCACAATTGCTAGCGAAATATTCAAACTCAGATTGAACAATTTTCGTTTGTAACCTATTATAGGTGAGTATTGGGGTTCTTTACTAGCCTTTGTGTAGAGGATAGTAAGGAACAATTAGGGAACCTTTAAGTTTATGAGAATCTAAACCAAGCATGTAGAGAACCATAAAAAGCCAACCCTAGGTTAGAACCATATCCACCCATTATTTGACACGTGTATGAATTGTATGATAAATTTGAAAAAACTATGTTTATTTAGTTTTAGGCATCATTAAACTACTATGTGGCAATACATTATCACATACATCCATGCATCATCAAATCGTTATGTGGTAAACAATAATACATGCATTCATTCAATCTTTCACTATTATGTGGCAAGCATTGACACATGCATTCATGGATCATTAGATTGTTATTTATAAAACAGTAATGCATGCATTCATTCAAAACTCTCATAAATCCTTAAATTGTTAACTTCAATGAATGGATATAGAATTTTTTTCCAACAAGGTAGGATCATTCTTGGCATAAGAACCTAGTAATGTATCATCCTAATTATGGTAACAAAAAGTTTAAGAATAGATAGATCATAAAAAAAAAAATCTTCCTAGCCACCATCCATATAATACTTAAGCTCAAGCAAGGATTATAGAGCAAGACCATGCTAGCCAAATTGAAAAGGTCGAGAAGGCTCAAGCAAAAATTAAAAGAGAGTTAGAAAAATTATAGAGATGCTCAACAAGATAAACAATGGAAAAGTTGTATATGAAACTTCTACTTTGCAAGATTGTCCATCATAAATGCTATAGACCCCTTATATCCTCTTAGATATAGCCCATACCAAGCCAAAACATCTTAAAGGGTATAAGAACAACAACTTCCTTGAGGCATAACCTTACATTTATCCTAGAATACCATCTATAGCTCCCTAGTGACCTTTCCAAACTTATACCAATCCTACTTTTGGAGAGAATGTGTCTAATCTTATTCAAATTCCTAATTTGGATGATTTTAAGGAACAAGAATAACTACAAATAGGCATTTCTAAGGTAATGGATAACTCTTCTACTTAAAAGATAAATCTAATAAAAAAGAGACTTTGAGTTGTTGAAGGAAAGGACTTCTATGGGTCCATGGGTGCATCTGAGCTATGCTTGAAGTGGTAATCTTGACCAAGTTCAAGGTTCCAAAATTAAAAAAATATGATGGAACAAAATGCCTTATGACTCATATAGCCATATATTGCCACAAAATGGCCGCATGCACTTATAATGAAAAGCTTATGATTTATGTGTTCTAAGACAATCTAATAGGCCCTAGTATAAGTGGTATGTCCAGGTTGATGGAACCCACACCTACTTATGGAAAGAATTAGCTAAAGTATTCCATCACTCAATATCAACATATCATAGATTTGCTCATGATTGTTTATATTTATAGAATATAGAAAAGAAAGCTATTGATAGTTTTAAAGAATATGCCCAGAGGTTGGAGAGATACTATTGCTCAAGTTTAGCTACCTTTTACTGAAAAAGACATAATTATCTTATTTATCAATATTTTGAAGGCCCTATACTACAAAAGAATGATTAGGAATGTCACCAAAAATTTTACTGACATTGTGTTTTCTAGTGAGATAATTGAAAATGCCATCAAGAATGGCAAACTCAAAAAAGGTAAAGCTTCTAATTTAAAGAAAAATGGTGCACCAAAAAAGAAATAAGGAGATACCAAAGCTATGATTTATAAGTGGCAACAAGCTGGAGGCTTTACCCTATACCAATGTTATTCTTACCTAATTCCTATGACATTGAGTTACTCCCTCAGCTCATTAAGAACCACTTCATTGCACCAATGTATTTGGAACCTTCGAAGCCTCTTTACCTTGAGTGGTAGATGCTAATTCTACTTGTGATTATCATTTTTGGATTGCAAGCCATTCCATAAAAAATTATATAGCATTAAAGTATAAGGTGCAAAATATAGTCAAAGCTAGCTTGGTGAATTTTGAAGATAAAGAAGGGCCAAGTGTTACTTAAAATCCTTTTCCTAACATACGGGGCATAATTTTAAGAAGGCTTTTTATTGAAAGTTTAAGATTCTTGTCAAATTGAGGGTTTTTAGGAAATAATGCAAGTTTTTAAATATCATGAACATTAGAAAGGTCTTTTATGTATTGGTTATTTATTTTTCTTTCATTTCAATAAAGTGGCAAGTGCATTTCTTTACATGTTTCTCTTTTCATCCTTGCTTTTATTCTTTCTTATGACACTTATTCTCATATTTTAAATAATGAATGTTCAAATAATCGTGACAATAATTCGAGATTCAATTTTGAAA